GTATCAATAACACCAGAAAAAGAGTTGCTAGATTTTCACTAGTCCCTTTTCTGAATAACAGTATCTAGAGGGTCTGAAAAGTCTGTAAATATAGCGAGGAAGTCGTTAAATCAGCACTGCTGTGTTCCACAACCCGCCACCTCTCCTGTCAGCGAGCAGCGTCGGATCGATTACGTCACACATTGGAGTGGTCAAATTATCGTACATTATGGGATTTTTGGGATTATTGATTGTACATCGTACAGAGGGCAAAATTATGGTACAAATACYATAATTATCGTACACCTGGCAACACTGGGAAGTGAATGAAGCCAGTCTGTGTTGATAAGGCTTCCAAATTCAATTAAATTAAATTTGTCTGACGAAGCAGCAGCTCTCATTTACAGTCGTCTGGTTRYGCTRGGTACTTCTTTCCTCTCAGTAGGGTTGTTTACAGCAAACCCGATTTCCAGTTAGCGTCTTAGCTTAGCCTCCTTCACAGCGACATACGTCGCGGCCAACCAATCCAATCATTTTAAACTTCAACAGAGGCCACACCTCCACCAAGAATCGCTTCTCTATAGCCGAGAGTCCAGGCCCTTGTAAGAAACAAAGTGAAGGACAAGGGTCTGGTTTTTACCAGGCTAAWATTGTGCATGACAAGAATGTAGTTTTAACACTAAATCATTGTAATTTCATAACTCTTATAGAGTTACTGTTAAGTGTTAATTTAACACTGAAGTAGTGGTTCTATAAACTCTGTACAAGTCATTCACCATATCTAAGAGGTCTACAGGTCAAGAGGAGCATAGCAGGGTCATCATCCTGTGTGAAGGGAATCTTATAATGGCAGCTGGCCGTTACCATGAATAAGGTAAGCTGTTGATCTGCGGGGTATCCAGAAGGCGGCGTCGATACTGGTTTCAATCTTAGGCATAAAGTTGCTGATGGGACCTTCTTTGATGTCTGGCTGCTCGTTGTGTTTCATCCAAAGATATCTTGAAAAATGAAAAGCAGTTTTTTTAAGGTGAGTGTACAGTGTCTTTTACTTACTGGATAGCACATTGCAATCTGACAAAAGGCCAAATAGCTGTTTATAAAATGTGAAGAACTGTTCTGAACGTGCCTGTCTCTGAAAAAGAAGGTAGCATCCCCCAGGGTTGATATTGCATCAAACATCAGGTCTGGTGCACATCTGTCTTTCACGTGTTGAGGAAACATTGGTCGGGACAGCCAAGGAAAGCTCCTCAAACCATAATTGGTAGCAGCTCTGAGAGGACCTGACACACATRGGGGTTAAGGATAAGTCAGCGTCCATTTAAAGGGAAATATTCAGGAGTGTGTGGACACAGATAAAAGCTGTTTACGGTAAAGTGCACTGATACTGGCCACATCTTCTCTGGACAGCAGGTTTGAAGGACGAGACATTTTGTAGGTTGGATACATTACTGACTCCGGATTTCTGGAGTGCTTGAGGCCTAAAGCGTGGCCAAACTCATGAGCTGCTACCACAAACAGGTTAAAACCTGCAACAGAACAAAGATAAGGTAGAACAATGCATTTGTATCAATAATGCCTTTAGTAGCATCTTCCTGTGTGAGTCAGTTCAGAACCTGTTCCCCCGCCTGCCGTCCAGAACTCATCATCATCAAAGTGTGTGTCCCCTCCGGCACCCAACCCTGGACCGAAAGCATGAGCCAGAGTGCCTCTGGGGCCGTCAAATGGATAAAAGTCACCGTGCGCTAAAATCAGGCCAAACATGAAACAGAAACCACAGAGAAAAACTGTTTGATTYTTTTTTTCATGGCGATAGGAAATTACAGACCTCATCTGAGTGAGTGTGTCACATTCAGCAGCTGCTAGAAGATGATACTGCCACAAATATTTTAACTACTACTGTGGCTCCCCYCATCTAATGCCACTGAGCTACGATATCTCCCGTCACTGTTTGGTGTTAGCAAAAAGACCAACCTACCATTGGTGACAAACTCCACCCTGATGTCAGCACTGTTGGTGTGTAACCGGACAAACGTCAGGCCACTGGCTCTGGCCCAAACGTTGAAAGCTGACTCCAGTAATGACTCCACAGTGCTGTGAGGCAAATCTCTGGTGTATCTGCCAATGCTGAGAAAGAGAAGCGATCACGAAATGTTGCCGATTCATGTTACGATCAACTCAGACATCTTTCAAAGCCTTACATGAGAAAAATATGTGGTAGTGTTTGTTTCTTATGTTGTATGGTAAGCCTCCTTTGTTAGTTCAATGTGATGCTGTGTGACTTCTGTCATTAAAATCAGCAAAACATTTTTCCAGTTGGGTAATAGGTTGCGCAACTCATCAAGGAGGCAAACCCATCCCACCACTTTGTTATTTAAAACAACAATCTTGAAAAGAAGTCTGAATAAACAGCAGTATGAGAAAAAGAAATTGGAAGTTGATGCTGTTAATTGAATGTTTTAATGAGGTCCTAAAACAGCTCTACCAGTATCAGCCACAGTCCTGGTGAAGTAGTTGGGAGATTATAAAACTTGACTAGAGGTTAAGTAGTACCAAAGTTCCTGGCATGATATGAGGTTCCTGATCTCCCACTCCTCTGTCTACCACTATCCTGCCCTCCTATCGTCTGGATCTCTTGACTTTCTGCTCCCAGTGTAATAATGAACTACTTTTTTGGTGTTTCCCTGCTGCCTAAATCAGAGTCTCAGCGCGCTCAACTAACTAATTCATTCCTGACTGCCTCCTCCTAAAACATGAGGTTCTATTGTCCTGCTGTGAGCACGATCCAAGAGTGGAGGTAGTGCAGTGGTATCTACACAACCAACTATAAGTACTAATGCTAAGCTAAAAGCATGTAGCTGTGTGTAAAACACTTCATTCCATCATTCATGACAAAAAAATAGTCTTGATGACATCATTGGGCAGCTCATTATTAAACTAACTTCTAGTTTTCTGCAAAGGCAGGGTAGCACTGAGCTGATGATGATAACAGTTGTTTTTTGGCTTATCCATAAAAATACAGGTAACGATTTCTTTTACTGTACCCTTTTTACCATGTAATTACATGGTGATAACTTGTGATTATGTGTAATTACATGGTAATTACTACATTACTACATGTAACTGAACATTAATTTCATGTAATTACATGCAATTATTGCCTTATTACCATTTAAATACATGGTAATAACATGTATACATAATGTTAATTACATGGTAATTACAACCTTATTGCATATGATGTTTCCATGTAATTACCATGTAATTACATATAATTACAAGTTATTACATCTTATTAAGGGCACTGTAAAAGAAAGCGTTACCAAAATACATTGGTTCGGTAGGTTTTTCATAAGAATTTTTTAAAAACATCTTACTTAAGTGGACAGATGGTGTTGCATTGAGAACAGTGTTTCATTGGTGCTCAAAGAAAAATCTGAAAATCCATTGGTTGTAATGATTTGTGACAACTTTTGCCTACTTCTGACAAAAACTGTATCTGCATCTCAAGGAAATGGTGTGGCTATAGTGGCATCACCATGAACAACTTTAAATCTTAACACCTGTAAGTCAAGACGTTTTTATTCCAGCGCGTGCCCTGGATGTGACTGTAGTCCTCCACGTCTGGGACGCCACATCGAGGACTCCTCATCACCTGCAGGGTGTCGGGGTCCAACACTCCTGTTGCACTGAGCCCAAAGAAAGTCTGCATGTCTTTCACTTTGGAGGAGAAGGAGAATCCYCTCCTCTTCATGCGTCCCAAAGGATCTGTTTTCAGGTTGTAGTACTGATGGAGGTAGTCCTATCAGATACCAGAGACAATATTGTGTCATTTTGTAATGGAAAATTTAGTTTTTCATCACTGCAAAATATACGCACTCCAATAAGACTTTGTTGGATACACTGAATAAATCTCTTTAATTAATAAAACGAATTTCACAGTTTAACTGTATGAAAACAAAAGAGGCTATTTGCTTTAAAAATATAGCAAAATGGATAGGGAAAGTAAAAATGAATATGCTAAAAAATATCTGTGAATTCGCAGATTTGCTCATTTCTAGCTGCAAAACTGGTGTTTACTCATCTCCACCTCACAGTTACTAATGTAACTCATTAAATATCAACATACACTCCACAAAACACAACATATTTAACACATCATGGCTCTCAAAACTTTTAAAATTGCACCAAAGCACTCACTGTGGCCAGCTTCAAGTCAGACCATGGTTCAGCTGAAGGCGTGTTCTCTTCCTCCAGAATAGGTGTCGGTGCTGCGAGACCTGAGTCCAGCAGGAGCAAGACCAGGACACAGACAGGGAGCATGACCTGCATTTCTCACACCTCAGCACTACATGAAGATGGGTGTTCTGGTTAATGAGAACGCCCTTTTAAATGGTTATTGTGACTCACACCACTTGCAAATCCTTGAAAAAAAAAATACCTCATACAGTGGTGGATGGGTTTAGGGAGGGGTTTGTAAAAAGTGGACAGTGAAAGAAAAAAAAGGTCCTTTGAGGATTTCTTTTTGTCCACTTGAAGCCACGTGGACTTAAATAAAGCCAATGTTCTCAGGACAGCATCATTGTCTTGATTTGTTTAAAATAAGGCAAAAGTCTGAGTGAATTGGACAAAAACATCCCGCATGATGAAACAAGTGATGAAATAAGCGTTGAACCAGAGCTTGACTCAACAGGTAATTCACCTGTCAAGCTGAGCCTGAGCTGCTTCCTGTCGCTGTGAGGCCTACAGGTAGAAACATGAATATTCACAGCTTTAAAAAGTACATAGTCATCTTGTTTTAAAAGCTTTCCTCAGGAACATGATGATCTGAGACAGTCCCACGCATTTTGCAAAGGCCCAAAAATAACATCCTAAAGCCCATTTTTGTATCTTTATGACTGCACCGAAGAACATTCAATAAGAGAGCTCGCCGACGGGGGAAATTGCAGTGGGTGGATTTACGGCCTTCACAGAAACAAAATGGCCGCCAGCCAGGAGGTCCAGGCTGGCGAGGTGGTTCTGCGATAAACGCAGACTACAATTACAGCTGATTGGTCACTTTGAGTTTTTATGGGACTAGAAGCATTCCTCAGTAGCTGAGACTTTGTGATCTTCTGTTGCTGGAACTTTGTGGTCTGAGCTCAGGCAAGGTGATGGAGTCAGTTTTAGCAGGAAAGTGCATGGAGACGCTAATAGCTAGATGTTTCTGTAATTCTCTAAAAATAGTCGTGACCAATATATCTCAAAGTTTTTCTTTGAATGGTGATGATTTCCKCATTATTCCAAATCCAGTTTATTTTGTTTCAGTGTTTGGAAGAAATAGTCATGGGTCCGACAGTTTAGAACCAGGGTCCGAGCTGGCTGTGGCACATTTGCTGGAGCTGTTGCCTCTCAGTGAGAAGGTTGCAGGATTAAATCCTGGCTGGGGACTTTTCTGTGTGGAGTTTGCATGCTCTGGATTTTATTTCCCATTCATAAAGTAGCAAACAGTTTTGGACCTAAGAAACAATAAATTAAAGAAGAAATCAAACGGATTGTGTTCCCTGGTATTATTTTAAACAAAATACCATTCATGAACATCTACAAGATGACTAAAAGTTGAGAAAAAACTGTTAATGAAAGAAAATCTTCACTTCAAACATTTGTTGTGGTTGAAAAGTCAGTCAACATGAGTAACACATACACATCTTTTAAACACCTGACTCACAACTTTGTGAAATATTTGCATTTCAAAAACTGTAAATGCAATTTTGATTAGAAAAATACAGAGAAAAAAAATGAACAAAACTGCAACAAATGATTGTAGGTTTTTCAGTCAGTGTAGAATTGGAAACCTGCTTCTAGCACCCCTTAGTGGTCATCTCTAGTACTGCAATATGAAGCCAGTGAGGCGTGAAAACTATTAAACCTACAGCAGTGATGGATGTGTGATGTTTTYTTTAGGTAAAATCTTCTACAGCAAAGCTCACATTAGTTTCCACATTATCAACTACATAAAGGGGTTTAAGGCGCTGTGATGGACTTGCGACCTGCCCAGGGTCCTGCCCCTCTCACTGTGACTGCTGGGTATGAGCATCAGTGACCCTGAAAGGAAGAAGTGATTGGCTGGCTGGCTGGCTGGCTGGCTGGCTGGCTGGCTGGAAGGATGGATGGATGGATGGATGGATGGATGGATGGATGGATGGATGGATGGATGGATGGATGGATGGATGGATGGATGG